AAGCGAAAACCCCAGCCCCCTGGCGTTTTTCTCGGAGCCTGGAACAGGCTAACCACTCAGGCGCTCTACAATCTAGCGCTGTTAGTTGCGACATAATAAACATCGACCAAAAACTGAACCTGTTCTCACTGCGACAAAAAATAGAGTTTGGCCTTTGCAAACTGATAATTGGAAAATTTTGTAATTACCAAAACTTTGAAGATGCCTACAACTTTCTCCTAGGCGACAAAGTCCTCTGTTCCCTTTATTTTGACAGCTATCCTTCGCTGGGTTAACAATTAACGTTACTGGTTACACGAATAATTTCGTGTGTCTCATTTGCGAACAGGGTTTCAAAAATAAGAAAGAAGCAAGAATCATTGTTGCAGGCGCTAATCAAAAGGGATATGCTACTATATAGTTACGAACTGTTGTACACGAATTTTGGTTAGCGTAATCAGTTCTTGTTTTGAATAAAAAGGTTATCAAGGTTTTCTGTACAGATGCTTTGAGACATGTGCCTTTTATTCGTTAAAACATTGGTTGTTATAGTCAAGAGTACCGTAGTCCCATTATACACTTTACACAAATGTATAGTGATTGCGTGAATAGCGCGTACTGCAAAAGATCGTGAGGTGACAGCTCATGCAAACCCGACTTTTGCATGGGCTAATTTAGCAATAGAACAGGAACGTCAGTTGACGGGAAAGCGCGTGGAAATCACTAAACGCGACTTTCGTTCCAAATTTGCCGCTCTGCCATTGGTCAAGCTAGTTGTTAGATTTGAGCGCGACGTCGTCAACTGACGTTCCCGTTCCGTTGCTAAATCAGCCTAATTTTCTCAGATAATACGCGCGCTCTGATTGACCAAGAGTTGTGTTTGCAAGAGGGTTTGTAGTAACGAGGTCACGATCTTTCGCGGTGCGCTCGCTATTTAATAGGCGCAATATCACTTCGCTCTTTATCTTCGAGATTATCCTCATCAACAATAAGCAGATCATCCCATTCCTCATGTATTCGTACCACAGGTCTCCCAAACGTAATATGAGAGTTTGTATGGGAAAAAAAGAGTTTGAAACTTAGATGAAATAAATGAACAGGCAGTGTAATAATGATGTAAAAGTGCTCAAATCGCGCTGAAACTTCATAAAAACAAAGACAACGACTCCAGGTAACAATATTTACACTTTATTGACAAATTTTCTCGCTTTTACATCATTCATTTCATCTAAGTTTCAAACTCTTTTTTTCCCATACAAACTCTCATATTACGTTTGGGCCACCTGTGTTCCTACTATTTAAGTTATGAGGAGGAGAGAGGGGACTTATTCGATAGGGGCGTTTGTTTGATATTATGGCCAACGGGGTGAGCGCTTATTCGGGGACGGGCGCTTATTAGAGCGTGGGACCTTTCCGAGGAAATACGGTACACAGATATGTAACAGGTTAAATCAAAAAAAGTTAAAATGAACGCACCGGACAGACCAGCAAACGCGTTAAGATGCATTTAGCCAAAATAGAAATACCGTTTGTTGAAAAAAAAAAGTTAATAAGCGCCTCCCTTGTTAAGCTCCCTCCTTCCTATAAGCACCCCTCCTTTTAGCCGAGCTGGGGCGCTTGTTCGAGGAAATACGGTATTTACATAGCTTGCAAAATATAACGAAGTTTTAAAGAGCTGCTTCGTAACACCACCACTACTATGATTCTAAGAGAAGGGTCTGGAAATGACCTTAATGCCAAAGGTCCCCAGACTGTGACTGCGTGCTTACGTTAGAGTTTGTTCTACAGAATTGCAGCTGCAGCCTTGTGCTAAATTCTTCAACAACTCCAAGTTCGGCTTCTATCGGCAGGTTATGGCACTGATAACGGTCCTGATAGCGTTTAATAAAATCACCCAGTCAGGGAGTTGACAACCAAAGTTTTGATAAACAAAATGATCAGTATTTGGATTTTAACAGGGAAAGAACGTGTCTAAGGGTATCACTATCTTAAGCTATGGATTGTCTTTATTCACTCTATACCGGAGAGCTTTTGTGCCGGCACAAAAAGAAAGCATACCGGATAGGGCTCCTGGTCACGCAAAGAAGGGTGATTTCGGCCCGAAAAAGCAAAGCTGCGACGCGCCGATCACTAAACAGAAGAGTCACATACCGGATAGGTGTTCATACTTTACCGGATAGCTTTTTGTGTCTGCACGTAAAGCTATCCAGTGCAGTGTGAACTGGTCAGTATAAAACAAGAACTGTGGACTGTGGACCACGGACTGCGGACTGGGTTTAAAACACGGACTAGGTATAAAATGAGGACTCCGGACTGAGTATAAAAACACGGACTACGTGTAAAACGCGGACTACGGACTATGTATATAAAAACAGCTTTAGAACGGTAAAACTGAGAGAAACGGAAAGCGAACTGTCATAAAACGGTAGTCCCAGCTCCTTGCCTCACACACAAACATTCCTTTAGCTGGTCATGATCATGCAGTCTATTCTCCCCAACGTCAGCGTTATGTGGAGAAGGA